TGCCGGCGCGTTCGTCATCGTCTGCCTGCCCGCCTGCCCCAGGAGACCCAGAGAGCGAACGTATCGAAAACATCGAATCGGAGACTCCTCGCTGTTTCCGGCGTCTGGAGGCCCCGGCACCGTAAAATAACAGCTCAGGATGAAGAAACTGGCCCTGGGGAAAGAGGGTCGGGATTTCCGGGGACCCCGCATTGAACATATCACAAAGTCGGATCTCTGGGGAGGGTCGCGACTTCCAGGGACCCCGCATGGAAAAAACAAGAACTTCGGATGTCTGGGAAGGTATGTCGCCGCCATCTGGGCGACAGAAAAAAACGGTTTCAACTGCCCGACGTTAGGCGCGTGAGTTGCCTGCGTAAGGTCGCGCGTACGCCACCGCGTAAGGTCGCTATGCCATCTCGCGTAAGACCCTTTGTTGATCGCCGCCATCCGGCTCCCCGCGGCCCCCTCCCTGGCCCCCCGGAGGCTGTCAGACAACGGCTCGAGACGGAAAGCCGGTCCAGGGGGAAAGAGGCCCTCAGGGTCCATGGGTTCCCCGCAGCCCCCTCCCCGAGGCATGGCTCGACAAGACGTTAGAGTGACCTTTCGCCGGAGTGGCCTTTGGTGCGGGCCCCATGGGGTCCCCCGATCGCCGAACGCGATGCGATCGTAGCGTCTTGCGCGCTGGTGTTTGGTCCCCCCGCGGCCCCCGAAAAAGCCGCGCACTCAAGGTCACTCTTAGCTAGGGTCACTCTTGCGTGTACAGTCAACCCGCACAGGATGGAGGGGCGACCTTCCCAAGGGTACCTTTGCAGCCTTGCCTCCTCGGTCCACCCGTCGCCACTTTCGTGGGCCGCGCCCCGCTCGAGAAGCTTCGAATTGGGCGTTCAAAGCCCTTGCATCCTTATCGCGCATCCTTGCTATACGGGTTGACCCTCGTCGAGCGGTGCCGTCAGAGGACGACTCGGGGGCCCCCCAAACGTTGCGGTGTTCACACCGTGCGGTGCGTCAGTTGAGACTCGGGACCACCGCACGATGTCGGTACCTCGGTCGATCTCCAGGGGAACGTCTCGGGCGACCGGGGCCTCCAGGGTCCCAGAACCGTGCGGTGACGGTCCGTGCGTTGAGGTCGCGGGGGATTATATATGAGGTCACCGCACGGTCCGTCACCGCGCGGGTGCGGGGCTCCGAAAACGACTCGGGATGGAAAGGCATTCCAGGGGGATTGCTCAGGAAGGAGAAACCACACAGACACAAATCATCGCTGATCCCCAGGAACATGTGGGAAGATACGTGGGAAGGGGGCAAGGGGGAGACGGGAATCGCGAAGACGTGAGGAGAGATGTGAGAAGTCTTCGGACTCGTGCGTGTTGATTTATTTGTGCGTGTTGATTGATTTGTGGGAAGTCTTGGGACTTGCGCGTGTTGATTGATTTGTGCGTCCCTGGGTCCCACTCAGATGGGCCCCTGCGGTCCAGGACCTGTTTGCCCATGGGCTCCTTGCCTTCACGGCGGGGCGGGGCGCGGGCGGGGGGGGGGGAGGCGCGGCCACCGATCTTCGGGATTTTGCTGGGGTTCCCGGCCGCGGTTGGTGGTGGACGCCATGCTTCGGTCGGGTACGCCCCTCTACAGGAAGAAGGTTCGAGAATAGTCTCAAGTCGGGCCTGTCCCTCTACAGGGGGAATATTAAAGAAAAGTTAAGAAATAGTCAGAGGACGACTTTTTGCGCATGTTTTGATCATTTTGCATATTTCTGGGTAAACTCAAATTTTCCTGCAAAATCCTCCTGTAGGGGAACATGCCCGACCTAAAGATAGTCCAAAAATAGCCGGGCGACGATTTTGTGTGCCGCATCATAAAGCGATGATGTTTGGACTCCGTTTATTCAATCGCTTCGCTCATTCCGCCGGCCCATGCTGCATGATCGCTACTGCTTCTCCGTGGGCCCGGGGCCATTGTGGCGCCGCCGAGGAGGAGGAGGAGGAGGAGGAGGAGGAGGAGGAAGAAGATGAGGATGGGGAAGGGGAGGGGAGGAGGAGGAGAGGATGAGAAGGAGAGGAGGAGGAGGAGGAATATAAGTAGTAGGAGGAGGATGAGGAGGATGAGGAGGAGGAGGAGGAGGAGGAGGAGGAGGAGGAGGAGGAGGAGGAAGGGGAAGGGGCGGAGGAGGAAGCCTCTCGTTGGCATCTTGTGTTGCTCCAGGAGCCAAACAGGGTCGTCGTCAAGATGCTTATTTGGGAGGCTTCTTGGGGTCTTTTGAGAAGCCGTTCGGGGGCGCCTGGGAGGCATTTTTGAACTTCTGGGGCCTCTTGGGGCCTCTTTTGGGCCTTCTGGGGGCTTCCTGGGGCCTCTTGGGGGCCTCTTGGCGGCCTCTTGGGGCCTCTTGGGGGCCTCTTGGGGCCTGCTGGGGCCCTCTTGGGGCGGAAGGCTTGAGTTTTCGGTTCGTGGTCCCCCTCTTGGGCCCCTCTTGGGGCCGTCTTGGGCCGTCTTGGGCGCCTCTTGGGCCGTCTCGGGGCCCTCTTGGGCCCTCTTTGGGCCCTCTTGGAAGCCTCTTGGCCCGTCTTGGGGCGCTCTTGGGGGCCTCTTGGGCCGTCTTGGAGCATCGGATGGCCGAAAAGGCGACAAGGCCAAAATCTTTCCAAAACCACAATAGGATTGATGATTTATGCCTGTCGGGCCCTCTTGTGAGGCCTCTTGGAGGCCACTTGGAGGCCTCTTGGGCCGTCTTGGGGTCATCACCGGCGTCTTGGAGCGCTCTTTGGACGTCTCGGGCCCTCTTGGACCGATTTCGAGCCCTCTGGAGCTCCGAAAAAGAGTTCCGGCATCCTTGAACAGGATTTGCCAGGAGTCTGCCGAGGTACTTTTCCTCCAGTGACCCCCAGGGCCCGCCCCGCGCGCGCGAACTAGAAAGATTTGTTTACCAGATCTTAGCACGCCTCTGGGACGTTGGGCCGGCGAATTTTCCTTTTGACTTCCGCCTGCAGGAGGACAGGCACGATCTAGTGCGATGCATTCGATCGTTGACTTCATGCCAGACACAGCCATCCAGCTCTCGTGCAGGATACCGCTGGCCGCAAGAGATCGCCGAATGCCGCCGACCGCTGGAGACCGCCAGAGACAGCCGGAGGCCAAGAGGCAGCAAGGAGTGTATGGTTAAGCTCGCAAGCAAATGATGTTCTTCTGCTCCAAGGTGTGCCACGCTATGGAGAAGGATGAGGAGGACGAGGCGAGGGAGGGGGGAGAAGGAGGCAGGGGAGGGGGGGAAAAGGGACGAGTAGGACGAGGAGGATGAGTGTGTGAAGGGGGAGAGGAGGGAGGAGTGGGGAGGAGGAGGAGGAGGAGGAGGAGGAGGAGGAGGAGGAGGAGGAGGAGGAGGAGGAGGAGGAGGAGGAGGAGGAGGAGGAGGAGGAGGAGGAGGAGGAGGAGGAGGAGAGGGAGGATTGGGAGGCGGAGGAGGAGGAGGAGGAGGAGGAGGAGGAGGAGGAGGAGGAGGAGGAGGAGGAGGAGGAGGAGGAGGAGGAGAGGGAGGATTGGGAGGCGGAGGAGATGAGGAGGAGGAGGAGGAGGAAGAGGAGGAGGAGGAGGAGGAGGAGGAGGAGGAGGAGGAGGAGGGAGGATTGGGAGGCGGAGGAGGATGAGGAGGAGGAGGAGGAAGAGGAGGAGGAGGAGGAGGAGGAGGAGGAGGAGGGGAAGGAGTAGGGGCAATATGAGGAGTGGGAGGAAAGGGAAAGATGAAGAGGGGGAGGTGTCTTGTAGGCGGCCTGTTCGCGTCGGGGGATGAGTTCGTTCTCTTCGGAGGTGGCCTTCGCCACGGAGAAGTGTCCGAAATCGCTAGGTGTCTCTAAGGGTAGGGTAGGTATCCAGGGGTGCTCGCAGGTAAACAGAGTCCCCTGGAGGCCCAAGAAAGGCCAAGCACTCACATTACCCTGCGATTTATCCAACCCATCGGCACCAAGGGAAAACATCAGGTGCGTTCACAAACAGTGCGACAGCAATGCTGTAAGAGACCTTTGCACGGGGAATATCTATATCGTGCGAAGTGTGCGTAGCTGACTCGCAGAACAGGGGCGTAAAAAACAAGCACCTCGTCAGCAGCATCGAGAGGATGGAGCATGAGCAAGATAAGGTTACATAGACGGAGACGCAACCAGACAATGAAGCGTCGCGTTTTTTAATGCTTCATGAGACATTCAAGCGTTGCGTTGCTTCAAGTTTGGATCGGCCGTCGGCGCACACTAAACTGGCCCCCCCCCAAACAGCCCTCGAAAGTGGCGACAGTTTCACAAATCGCAACCTCCTGAGGGACGTCCAGGTCAAATTTGAATCTGCCGCCGGTACCCACCATGCTGACCCCCCAACGGCCCTCGAATGTGGCGACAGTTTCACACTTCACAGCCCGGTAGGGATGTCGAGGTCTAGTTTGAATCGGCCGTCGGCACCCACGTTGCTGGCCCCCCCAGCAGCCTTCGAACGTTGCGAGAATTTCTCGCTCCGCAGCCCCCCATTGATGTCGAGGTCTAATTTGAGTCTGCCGTCGGCACCCACTTTGCTGCCCCCCCCAGCAGCCGGTTTAAAGTAACGACGGTTTTGCAGATCGCAGCCCCCTAGGGTGTCGAGGTCAAGATTGAATTTGCCGTCGGCACCCACTACGCTGTCCTCCCCAGCAGCCCTCGGAAGCGGCGACAGTTTCACACATCGCGCCCCCCACGTGGAATGCAAGCAGACAGGTGCAGGCTGGCGAGAGGGGGACAGAGGGCGGGAGGCGGAGAAGAAGGGAGTTGGCACCCCGCGGCTATATTCAAAATGAGAGCACAATCAATGAACGGTTGGGATAACACATGCTCCCCCTTTTCCGCTCCTTTCCATTTCCTCTGGCCCGTCGCCCCTTCCCTCCTCTCAACCTCCTCCCTCCTGCCTCCCGTTATCCTCCTCCTGCTCCTCCTCCTCTTCCTCCTCCTCCTTCTCTTCCTCCTTCTCCCGCCGCCTCCCCTCCCTCATCTTCGATGTGGCCTTATCCTCGGAGGTGGCCTTTGCCATGGAGAAGGGCGAGGTCTTCGCTCTGCCCGAGTCCTCCTCGGTCAAGCGGGTCTTCGCGGGCCTCGGCTGGGACGTGGCGGACGGCGCCGAGGTATCTCTCGTCTGTCGGCCCTCGCCCTCGTCGGCTCGCCCGACGACGACGACGACGGACGACGACGACGACGACGACGACGGACGACGACGGACGCCGGACTGCGGGTGACGACGACGACGGGCGACGGGCGACGGGCGACGGACGACGGACGGCGGGCGACGACGACGACGGGCGACGGGCGACGGGCGACGGACGACGGACGACGGGCGACTGGCGACGGACGACGAAAGACCGACCGCTTACGGCCGACCACCGACCACCGACCAGCCATCACAAATGGATCTGGGCCGCAAAATTGTCCCCCGCGAAGGGTTCGATAGTTACACGTTGTTCATTTCCGATTCTTCGAAAATTCTCTGATTTTTTTTGGGGGGGCCAAGATCCTTTATTTCTAATCGTTCTATCCTGGGCCTCTTCCTGGCCACTATGGGGCCGAGATCCTGGCGTCTGATCCCCCCCCTGCATGCCAACACCCCCTGTAGCAACGCGAGAACGCCCCCCCAGCACCCCCACGGACCCCCTCTGGTATCCCAACGAGGGGGCGATGATTAACAGAGCCAGGGTGCGGGGGAGGTGGACCTCGACGTGTCCGCTGTCTGCCTGTCCAAGGACGGCCAGGAGCTGGGCGCGGTGTTTTTTGGCAACACGAGTGAGTTCGGCCTCGAGCATTCCGGGGACGCCCTGGGGGCCCAAATTTTACCTCAGCGCGCGACGGGGGTAGGGGGAGGAGGGTGAAGCAGAGGAGGGGGTCGAGGAGGAGGAGGTGTCGAATTGGCAGGGGTAGTCTCCACAGTAAGTTGCAACGCTTTACGGTGGAGCGAACAAAACTGCGCAGTGGTTTTAGCGTTGTGTGTTTGTTCGCCTTGTGTGTTTACAGTATTGTTTCGTTGTTTGATTTATCAACTGGTGTTTCTTATTTGATGATGTATGAGATGTTCTAGTTACGATGTGTTTTCTGCGTTGTAGTTGTACGTCGTGTTTTTTTGACGTTGTGCTCTCACGGTGTGTCTTTGACGTTGTGGGTTCTACAATCTGTTGTTTACCGTGTACATACACAGCGTAAAAAATGAGGCAGCGTGAACGCACACGGCATAACCAACGCATCGTAACACGTACAGCGCAACGAACACAGCATAGAAAACACAACCATGAACACACAGCGCAGAAAACAACAACGAACATACGACGTAGAAGCCGCTGCATTGACCATTCGACGTTAGAAGAACAACTTTGAAAGCCGACCAGGAAATACCGTAGAACTCAACGTAACTCACACACCATGTAACCACACATCATAGAGCATACAGCGCAAGAAGACACCCACACACTCTTCATAGAAGACACACCGCAGAAGCCGCAGCGTAGACTACAAAGCAACGCTTTGAACACAGCGTAGGAAACACAACGTTGAAAGCACAGCGGCAGAAACCCAACGTAGACAACACAGTAGAACCAACACAGCGTAGTCAAGATCTCCACGGGAATATCACAGCGGGCGAACAACACCAGACGAACCAGCGACACAACGTCGGAAACACACCGCAGGGCATACACACAAGTATAGAAACAGCGTAGGGGGACAAACAAACACCCGGCGTGGCCAAACACAGCGTACACCACACAGGGTACACCATACCGTGTAACACATGCACATCGTAAACCAATTCAGCGAAAGAACACAGCGTGAACCACACCGTACACAACACAGCGTAACACAGCACAGCGTAGCACAGCACAGAGTGCACCACACAGGGCAAACAGCAGCGTAACGCACACAGCGAAAACAACCACAGCGTGCAACCACAACCATGATAAGCCAGCGCAGAAAACACAGCACCGACAACACAACCACGAACTTAGAACGTAGAGTCGGCAACAATGAACATACACCGTAGAAAGATAATTGTGAACACTGAGCATTAAACACAGTGGAACACACAACGTAAAGCAAACAATGTAAAATTACACAGCGGACAACACACAGCGTAAACAAACAGCGTAGGCAACACAGCGTAGAACACACAGCATAGAAAGCTCAGCGTAGTCAACACAGCGTAGGCACTCCAGCGTCATAATCAGAGCGTTGACAGCACAGCGTAGCAATCACGGCGTAGAATACTCAGCATCACAACGTTGCATAGGAAAATACTTCCACGGGAATAGCCACAGCGGAAGAACCACACCAGAAGAACCACAAGAAGGAGACGCACAAGGTGGGAAGCAAACCGTCGGACATACAACGCAGGACACGCACTATAGCAGAACAGCTTAGGGACACAACCACGCACACAGCGCAACCACACAGCGCAAACCACACAGTGTAAACCGCAGCTTGATACAGATAACCTACAAAACACAGCGTACACAACTCACCGACACAGCGCAGAACACACAACGTAAACAGCACAGCGTACGATTAACACAGCGTAACAAACACACATGAGATCACAAGCACAGCGTCAAAGCGCACTGCGTACAAACAAATTGAATTCACTGAGGAAGAGTATGATGATGAGGAGGAGGGAGAGAGGATGAGGATTTAGAGGAGGCGGACGATGATGAGGAGGAAGACGTGGACCAGACCAAACCCAGGCCGCAATTTCACCCTCCCGCCCAAGCCACCTTTCTCTATATAACGCCATACAGAACCACTTGTTCCACTACGGGAAGCGTCCCCTTGAGATACGAGCGATTCACCTGCCTGCGAGTAATGCGAGAGCCCCATTTTGAAGAGGAGCCGGCCTCATCCAGGTAACCGTTGCGCAATTTTAGATCCTGGTCGTGGCACTGGAGGGTGCTACGAGACAGAGCTCTATCATGTTAAGGAACCGCTCTCCGTCGGTGTAGTTGGCTTGCAGCCTTCCTCCGATGGCCATCCGAACTAGCGAAGTCCAGGTAACCGTTGCGCAATTTTGGATCCTGATCGTAGCACTGGAGGGTGCTACGAGCGAGAGCTCTCTCGTGTCGAGGAACCGCTCTCCGTCGGTGTAGTTGGCTTGCAGCCTTCCTCCGATGGCCATCCGAACTAGCGAAGTCCAGGTAACCGTTGCGCCATTTTGGATCCTGGTCGTAGCACTGGAGGGTGTCACGAGCGAGAGCTCCATCGTGTCGAGGAACCGCTCTCCGTCGGTGTAGTTGGCTTTATGTCTTCATCCGATGGCCATCCGAACTAGCGAAGTCCAGGTAACCGTTCCGCTATTTTGGATCCTGGTCGTAGCACTGGAGGGTGTCACGAGCGAGAGCTCCATCGTGTCGAGGAACCGCTCTCCGTCGGTGTAGTTGGCTTGCAGTCTTCATCCGGTGGCCATCCGAACTGCGTTGGAGGGTGTCACGAGCGAGAGCTCTATCGTGTCAAGGAACCGCTCTCCGTCGGTGTGGCTGGCTTGGAGCCTCCCTCCGATGGCCATCCGAACCCAGCGAAGCCTTCCAAGGCGAGAGCCACCGCTCTCAAGATGAGGTCTTCGGCCTCCGCCCGCGCAGCTCCCGGAAGTGCTTATACAAGAAGAGAAGAGCGCGCGCGGCCAGAAGGCGAGAGCCGAACATGTGGGAAACCAGCCGCCCTCCAGAAGACGAGCATTAGGAGGAGGAGGAGGAGGAGGAGGAGGAGGAGGAGGAGGAGGAGGAGTAGGGGGAGGAGGAGGCGGAGGAGGAGGAGGAGGCGGAGGAGGAGGAGGCGGAGCCCGTGTAGATTGATGGGCGTGTTCTCCCCACCCACCACCACACCACCACCACCATACGTTGGAGGGGGGGGGTCCTCCTCTGCCTCCTCCTCCTCCTCCTCTTCGTCCTCCTCCTCCTCCTCCTCGCCCTCCTCCTCCTGCCCCCCCTCCAACTTCTGGTGGTGGTGGCGGAAAACAGGCGCATCATAGATGCTGGGATCTGCCAAAAACGAAGGCAGGCGGCACTTCAGCCTGACCGGTCCTCCCTCCGTGCAGCTGGCGGACACTGCGAGCGCCAGTGCCGTGTGGTCGAGAGGTCTTGGGCGGAGCGCCCGGCAAGCCTCACCGGAGCGTCCAGCTGTGCAGCGAGGAGGAACTGCAGGAACGAGGAATGAGGAACGAGGAGGAGAGGTAGGATAAGGAGGAGGAGGAGGAGGAGGGGGAGGAGGAATATATTTCAGGAATGAGAGGAGGGGAATGCAGGAGTTGGAGCGTGTCGGCGACACCCAATCGTCGTGAGCCCAGCGACGCATGCCTTCGCCGCTCGCGTAGAATGCCCTGCTCCTGTACCTGCTTCTGTCAGGACAACCTCGACGGTGAGGGCGACGGAGACGACGAGGTGATATCCGCGGACTTGGAAAGGATGGACCCAAGGCCGGATGGTGACCGCAGCGTTCGTTGCCCAAGGCGTCTTCAGCTCCAAGCTCCGTTTCTGTGCCGTCGGGAGTTCTTTCTCGCTTTGTCCTGGTCTCGTGAGGGCCGCCAGGGCCTCTTGAGCACCCCTGCGGACGCCTTGGGCCATGACCACCGCTGCGAATCTTGGCACCGCTCGGAGAGGTTCATTTTTTTGTGCGAGGACCATCGAGGAGAATTTGGGGGCATCGTGCAAAGAACTACGCGCACGAAGTCGACAAGTGCATTGGTCATGGACGTCCGAGCGATGGCGAGGAATTGGAGGACGAAGACCAGCACGGAGCCCTTGCTTCCCAGCGCGGGGGGCGACCGTTCCAGGGTGGCTGAAATCTATAGCGCCCCACGGCGAGCCAGGGGGCAGGTGCCCCGCCCACGGTGGAATACTTGCTTCATTGTGTGCTGCTCCGCGTTCGCTACGCCAACGCCCCCCCAAGGGTGGACCAGATAGTCTTCGTCGTCAACATCTACTCCAACGGCGTGACCTTCGACCAGGTCTCCAACGCGTACTGCAGGATCTTCGACGGCTCGAACAACGAGCTTGCGCGGTACCTGCTGAAGAATGGCGCCGTCCTCCTCTCCCTCTCCCCCTGTTGCTTCTCCCTCACGAGGAGGAGAAGGAGGATGAGGAGAAGGAAGAGGACGAGGACGAGGAGGAGGAGGAGGAGGAGGAGGGGGAGGGGAAGGAGGAGGAGGAGGAGGAGGAGGAGGAGGGAAGCAGGTCCCTGGGGCTCTCCAGAGGCCCCAAGAAACCCAGGTCGGGCCAGAGACGCCCCACACCCTCACGCCGCACGCCGAGAGATCTCCCTCCTCGATCCCGGAGGGCCGAGGGCCAGAAGGGCCCAAAAACTTGGCTACTCGATGCTCCAGCCTCCTCGCTCTGGTCGAAGAAGGAAAACGGCATAAGGATTAACTTGTTGGCGCTCCGTGCGGATTTCTTGGATCCGCGCTGGGCAACCCCGGCAGCGCTTCCAGCACCGCCCCTGGCGCGCTCTGCGCGCCAGGGAGGGTGGTCCAGCGCAGATCCAAGACGCCCGCGCGGAGCGCCAACAAGTCTATGTGAACAGTCAACGCGCCTAGTAAGGACGCGCGCCTTCATCTAGGGTACCCTTGTGTCCTTGCCTCTGAGGCTCGTCCTTGCCTATATCACTGGTCGCCCGCCGCCCTAAAAAAACCCAACTTCGGCCTCCAAGGGTCTTGCGTCCTTATCACCCGTCCTTAATATACGTTTTGACTGTATGCAGTTTTCTCTTCTTCTATCTGGGCCCGACCGTCGCCGACCCTCTCAGCCGACTTTGCTGCAGGTCTCTGGGTGGCGCGAACGCCCGGGACTCCGGCCCGCTTGCACTGAATTGGGTCTTGGCGGAAGTTGAAAGATTTGGCGAACGTCTCCCGCTGATTCTGGCAGCAGGCTGGGCTCCCGCCTTCCAGGTGATATTGGTCCCGGGCCGATTTCGGTGGGGTTTGGGGTCCCCGGGCTCCTGGGCTCCCGGTCGATCTCCTCAGCGAAAACCATCCGCTGAGTGGGGCTTTTCTCTGGTGTAATTACCTAACAGCGAAGACTGATAGGTTTCTAGTGGTGTCAAAAGAGAACATCTGATGACTCAGAAGGGAGGTCTGGGCGGCATCCGGACAGCGGGAGCCGGGCTCAGGGCCGGGCTCGTTTTAAGCAAACGGTCACACACTTCGTGCTCTTCGACCTCCCAGAACTCCATTCCCGGGACACATTTTGAATGCCCGAAGCCAACTGTAGGCCACTTCGTGCTCTACGATTTCCCAGAACTCCATTCCTGGTCGACATTTTGGATGCTCGGAGCCAACTGTAGGCCACTTCGTGCTCTTCGACTTCCCAGATTTCCATTCCCGGGCCACATTTTGGATGCCCGGAGCCAACTGTAGGCCACTTCGTGCTCTTCGACTTCCCAGATCTCCGTTCCCGGGTGACATTTTGGATGCCCGGAGCCAATTGTAGCCCACTTCGTGCTCTTCGACTTCCCAGAACTTCACTCCCGGGCCACATTTTTGATGCTCGGAGCCAACTGTAGGCCACTTCGTGCTCTTCGACTTCCCAGAAATCCATTCCCGGGTTACATTTTGAATGCCCGGAGCCAGCTGTAGGCCACTTTGTATTTTTCGGGCCACATTTTGCTTTTGGATGTCCCCGTCGTATCTCTCGCCACCCGATTGCCGGTTTGTTCTGTTCGTCATCGTGCAGGGCAAGACGGCGGACCCAGGCGTCATCGTGCACTGGACGTTTCCGCCAGAATCTAATACTTGTAGTAGCAGTAGTACGAGGAGCAGGAGGAGCAGGACGCGCAGGAGGAGCAGGACGAGGGAGGCTCCTTACTCTTTCCTCCCTCCCCTTTCTCCCTTCATTTCTGTACTGGGTACCCGACCCTTTATGACTTCCTCCGCAGGCCTGGGTGGTCCACTCAGGCCGCGGGGGAGGATAGGGGGAGGTGGGGTCTTTTTCTTTCCCTAAACAGCTTGATCCTCGTCGCCAGTACTGAGGAGGGGGGGGGTGCACCGTTCCCTCGGATGGGCCCCCCCCCCTCCGGGAGCTCTCGATCCCATCTTTCTCTCTCTCTCTCTCTCTCTTTCTCTCTCTCTCTCTCTCTTTCTCTCCTTCTTTCTTTCCTTCTTCGAAGCAGCACTCTCAAGATGGTCGTCATCAAGCGTCTGTGGTCTCACAACGTCACGGACTCATCATCTTCATCAGCCTCCCCGTAGCCTTCTTGGCTACAGCCCTGCTTTCGAAGATTCCCTTTCAAAGGAACTTCGCAGCGCCTACTGCGACCCTTAATGCCAGGACATGCTGGCAGTTCTCGGTCTGGCGGCGGTGCTCCTGAGCCCGCTGCATTGAACAGCGGTGCTCCTCAGACTCCGGCAGTGAACAGCGCTGCTCCTCAGGGTGCTGCATTGAGCGGTCCTCTGCAAACGCTCGTCGAGCACGTGAAGCAGTTCGGCCGGATACCGAAGCGAAATAAAGGAACGTCCGAACAAGAACGGGCCGAAAACAAGTTGGCCAAACGTTTCTCGGACCATCGCGACCGCATCCCCAAAGACGTTTTGGATGAACTGCGGGCCCGGGGCTGTTCTGATCAGCGGACGGAGACCGAGGAGTTCAAGCGGAAGCAGAAGACCGAGGAGCTCATGCAGCAAATGCGAGACCTCGGCCGCATGCCAGGACATGATGGTAGTTCTCGGTGTGGCGGCGGTGCTCCTGAGCCCGCTGCATTGAACAGCGGTGCTCCTCAGACTCCGGCAGTGAACAGCGCTGCTCCTCAGCGTGCTGCATTGAGCGGTCTTCTGCAAACGCTCGTCGAGCACGTGAAGCAGTTCGGCCGGATACCGAAGCGAAATACAGGAACGTCCGAACAAGAACGGGCCGAAAACAAGTTGGCCAAACGTTTCTCGGACCATCGCGACCGCATCCCCAAAGACGTTTTGGATGAACTGCGGGCCCTGGGCTGTTCTTTTCAGCGGACGGAGACCGAGGGGCTCAAGTTTAAAAACGCAAGCCCGCTCCGACAAGATATGCTCTTTTTATTTACAAGCGAAGACTGATAGGTTTCTAACGAGGTCAAAAGAGAGCGTCTGATGACTCCCCAGAGGGGGTCTGGGCGGGGGCCGGACAGGCGAGGGCCGGGCTCGTTTTAAGCAAGCAGTCGCACACTTCGTGCTCTTCGACCTGCCCGGAGCCAACTGCAGGCCACTTCGTGTTCTTCGAGTTCCCGGAACTCCATTCCCGGGCCACATTTTGCATGCTGAGACAGGCTGATGCTGAGGCTGAGGCAAGCTGAGGCTGAGGCAGGCTGAGGCTGAGGCCGAGGCTGAAGGCAGACTGAGGCTCAGGCTGAAGCAGGCTGAGGCTGAGGCTGAGGCTGAAACAGGCTGATGCTGAGGCAGGATGAGGCTGAGGCTCAGGCTGATGCAGGCTAAGGCTGAGGCAGGCTGAGGCTGAGGCCGAGGCTGAAGGCAGACTGAGGCCGAGGCTGAAGCAGGCTGAGGCTGAGGCAGGCTGAGGCTGAGGCTGAGGCAGGCTGATGCTGAGGCAGGCTGAGGTTGAGGCTGAGGCTGAAGCAGGCTGAGGCTTAGGCAGGCAGAGGCTGAGGCCGAGGCTGAAGGCAGACTGAGGCTGAGGCTGAAGCAGGCTGAGGCAGGCTGAGGCAGGCTGAGGCTGAGGCTGAGGCTGAGGCAGGCTGAGGCTGAGGCTGAGGCGAGGCAGGGTGAGGCTGAGGCAGGCTGAGGCTGAGGCCGAGGCTGAAGGCAGACCTGAGGCTAAGGCTGAAGCAGGCTGAGGCTGAGGCTGAGGCAGGCTGAGGCTGAGGCTGAGGCAGGCTGAGGCTGAGGCAGGCTGAGGCTGAGGCTGAGGCTGAGGCAGGCTGAGGCTGAGGCCGAGGCTGAAGGCAAACTGAGGCCGAGGCTGAAGCAGGCTGAGGCTGAGGCTGAGGCAGGCTGAGGCTGAGGCTGAGGCAGGCTGAGGCTGAGGCAGGCTGAGGCGAGGCTCAGGCTGAGGCTGATGCAGGCTGAGGCTTAGGCAGGCTGAGGCTGAGGCCGAGGCTGAAGGCAGACCGAGGCTGAGGCTGAAGCAGGCTGAGGCTGAGGCTGAGGCAGGCTGAGGCTGAGGCTGAGGCAGGCTGAGGCTGAGGCTGTGACTGCGACTGCCGTTGCCGCTGCGACTTTCATCGCGAATGCGACTGCGACTGCGAGAACAGCATAATTCTACAACTGGATTCTCATGTGAATCTTAAGGGGAATGCTTCCAGACATGCTCCTACACATCGCTGTTAGGTTGCTTTGCCGGGATATGTTTTTCACAACGTCGACCCCCAGAGGTCTGGACCCCTTCCCTGGGACCGGTTTTTCGTCCTGACTCGTTTCCTGAAGGTCCCGAGGCCCGCGAAGGGCCCCCAGAGGCCGAAAATGGAGAAGCACCTCCCGTCGTGATTTTTTCACGTCGCGAGGAGCGGTCTGCAGTGTAGTTTCGTGGACGGTCCAGGGGCCCGGGAGTGGTCCACCAGGAGGCCAGCATGATGGGGAGACGCCTGCCGCCGCGCCGCTCTTTTCCGCGGCGCCCGCCTCTCTGCGGGGGAGGCACCTGCCGATCGTGAGGGGAGGAGCCGAGGAGTCCCCGGAGGGGAGGCCTCCCAGAGTTTTTGCTCCTCGAGGCCTCCCGACGGCTCCAGGCCCAGTGCGCCGACCAAGCCGAGGCGGCGGTTTGTCGCCACGCTTGGGCTCTGGGAGGCCGCTTGCGGACCTCGGGAGCTGTCAGACAGCGGTCCCGGGGCGAGGCAGAAGCCGGCTCCGGGGAAAGAAAGGGTCAAGAGCTTCGGCCACGCGCAGAGGGGGGGGGTAAGGGAAGGGGGAAAGGCTTCTTAGAAGCACCCCTGCTTCTTCGAAGGCGCGGGCCTTCTCTACACATGTAAGGCCGGCGCCTTCTAAGGAGCAGCCCCCTTCTAAGAAGCCTTCCCCCCTCCCCCCACCCCCCTCTGCGCGCCGCCAAGAGGTCCGGGGACATCGGGCCACTATCGAGGCGTCGGGGCCCGTCCTGCCTCCGAGGTGCCTGCTGAATAAGAGGGGAGAGGAGCGAGAGAGGCCTTCGGTGGCCTCTGGGGGCCTAAGATCGGAGCACGAGATCTATGACTCGTCAACTGCTCGCGGCCAGGCCCATCCTGGGGTCCAGGACCGGTGTGCAGGCCGTCCTGTCCAAGCCAGGAGGGCGTGTACGCTCCCCCAGGCCCAGGGGGAGGGCCGGGCCAGGAGCGCCATGAACCCGGCATCCACATAATCAGCATCTGCCTGCAGAGGCCGGGAAGGTGCCCAAACTGGCCGCCATGATTTCTGTGCTCCACGGCTTCTTTTTCATCCCGAGTTGTTGTTTGACGGTCCCAGCGCCTGGCGAGGGCCCTCATTGCTTCGAAAACGGCAGACGCCCTTTGTCGCTTTGTTGCGCGACGGCGCGAGCATGTCTGAAGAAAGGCACCAGGCCTCATCAAATCTTGACTCCACCTTCGTGTGACCTCTGGCAGTTTCTGTTTATGCAGCTTTTCTTTTTATCAAGGGGCGGTGGTTGTGTATAAACCACCACCTGAGTGCCTGAGGGCCAGCATTTCTATACATCGCCACCCTCCCTGGAGCGCACAGGAAAGCTCATTCATCGGCGGGTGTCTTTGTGTATAGATGTGATTCGCTGTTCTGACGCGTCAGCTGCGTCCTGACCGCCCATCAGCAGATGGTCGGTGGTAATTGACCTAGGCGTGTCCGGCCCTAGAACTCGCTGCGTTGGACCAACCTGCGGGGAAGCTGAAAGTGTATAGTTGTTGGTGGCCCACTACATCGACGATGTATCGACAATGCTTCGTTGATGTCTGGGCGATGCGTCCACGATGTGTAGACGATACGTGGGGCGGTCTGCACCGACAAAGTATCGACGATACATGGGCGATGCATCGGCCATTCGAGGTCGATGCCTCCCTTCTTTGCGTACCCCCCTTACCGTTGACCCTCACTCCGAGATACGTGCTGGAAGAGGGGATGAGAAATAGGGGGCCTCCCGAGGCCTCCAGAGGCCCAGTATCGGAGGACGTCGGGCGGGGTTAGGACGAGGACATCTCCGTTCCAGAGCCTTCTGGAACGTTTTCAGAGCGTTCTGGAATGCTCTGGGAAGGCCGCGGCGCCCAAGACATCATCCGGAGCCGCAGAATGTTAGAGGTTCTCGATGTATCCCCACCCGGCTTTATCCTCGTCCTGGCATCGTTTTATGACGAGGGCTATACATATACGTTGTTCTGTTCTAAGTATTCGAAAGTTGTTTGATTTTTCCCAACCCTCCTGCGTTGGGTTCTCGTTTTGAATAGAGCACTGCTCGCGCGAACCTTCCTTCCTTCCTTCCTTCCCGTCCCTCCTGCCTTTGACCTCGCTCGTCGCTGCGTGCCAGCTGGGGGGCTGCGATCTGTGAAACTGTCGCCACTTTCGAGGGCTGCTGGGGGGCCCAGCACAGTGGGTACCCACGGCGGATTCAAATGGGACCTCGCCATCCCTGGGGGGCTGCGATCTGTGAAACTGTCGCCCCTTTCGAGGGCTGCTGGGGGGCCCAGCACAGTGGGTACCCACGGCGGATTCAAATGGGACCTCGCCATCCCTGGGGGGCTGCGATCTGTGAAACTGTCGCCACTTTCGAGGGCTGCTGGGGGGCCCAGCACAGTGGGTACCCACGGCGGATTCAAATAGGACCTCGCCATCCCTGGGGGGCTGCGATCTGTGAAACTGTCGCCACTTTCGAGGGCTGCTGGGGGGCCCAGCACAGTGGGTACCCACGGCGGATTCAAATGGGACCTCGCCATCCCTGGGGGGCTGCGATCTGTGAAACTGTCGCCACTTTCGAGGGCTGCTGGGGGGCCCAGCGCAGTAGGCACCCACGGTGGATTCAAATGGGACCTCGCCATCCCTTGGGGGCTGCGATCTGTGAAACTGACGCCCCTTTCGAGGGCTGCTGGGGGGGCCCAGCACAGTGGGTACCCACGGCGGATTCACCCCGGATGCGATCAACTGTCGGGGCTGCTGGGGGGCCCAGCACAGTCGGATTCAAATGGACCTCGCCATCCCTGGGGGGCTGCGATCTGTGAAACTGTCGCCACTTTCGAGGGCCTGCTGGGGGGCCCAGCACAGTGGGTACCCACGGCGGATTCAAATGGGACCTCGCCATCCCTGGGGGGCTGCGATCTGTGAAACTGTCGCCACTTTCGAGGGCTGCTGGGGGGCCCAGCACAGTGGGTACCCACGGCGGATTCAAATGGGACCTCGCCATCCCTGGGGGGCTGCGATCTGTGAAACTGTCGCCCTTTCGAGGGCTGCTGGGGGGCCCAGCACAGTGGGTACCCACGGCGGATTCAAATGGGACCTCGCCATCCCTGGGGGGCTGCGATATGTGAAACGGCCGCCACTTTCTTATTCAAATTGGACCTCGCCATCCCTGGGGGGGCTGCGATCTGTGAAACTGTCGCCATTTTCGAGGGCTGCTGAGGGACCCAGCAAAGTGGGTACTCACGTCAGACTCAAATGGGACCTCGCCATCCCTGGGGGGCTGCGATCTGTGAAACTGTCGCCACTTTCGAGGGCTGCTGAGGGACCCAGCACAGCTGGTACTCACCGCAGACTCAAATGGGACCTCGCCATCCCTGGGGGGCTGCGATCTGTGAAATTGTCGCCACTTTCGAGGGCTGCTGAAGGGCCCAGCACAGTGGGTACTCACCGCAGACTCAGATTTGACCTCGCCATCCCTGGGGGGCTGCGATCTGTGAAACTGTCGCCCTTTTCGAGGGCTGCTGAGGGGCCCAGCACAGTGGGTACTCACCGCAGACTCATATTAGACCTCGCCATCCTTGGGGGGCTGCGATCTGTGAAACCGTCGCCACTTTCGAGGGCTGCTGAGGGGCCCAGCACAGTGGGCTTCCCGCACGTCTTTCTCCTGCTCTTCGTTCCCGACTCCCCACGTCTTCTTCGAGCCTGTAGTTGTCGCCCCTCGTTCTTGTATGGTTCTCCTGCGCATCATGCCATTGGCGCGTGTCCCAAGTAGCTGACATATCAAACAACGGATCCTGCAATTTGATGGTCCGTGCAAGTTTCGGCCAACTCCTCGTTTCCCATGATACAAATGGGTTGGGTACGTCACAAGGTATTTCGGGAACCAAGGCCCTTTCATTTCTAATTGTTCCATCCTGAGCCTCTTCGTGGCCACTAGGGGGCCGGGAACAATTAGAAATTAGAAACGAGCACAATTAGAAATGAGCACGGTTAGAAATGAACGACGTGTGTATATATATATATATATATATGTATATATATATATATATATATATATATATATATACACGTACATAGATATACAATCCACTGCCTTCGGCGGGGCCCAACTTGGCGCGTGGGCTGGCCGCCCCCGAGGCTCGGCGGCGCCCAGGGGTGGAGGGGGGAGTGAGACGGGGCGGGCCCTCTCTCGGAAGTTCCCCGGCCTCCTCGAGAAGTGTTCTGAGCCTTCCCAAGGAGACACAGGCCAGACGAAAGGTGGGGATTGGGAAAGGGGGGGGGTACGAGATCTGCTGCATGCAGCTGGTTTCGGCCCCACCGAGGGGCCCATTCCTCGATACATAGCCGCCTCCGGCGCCGGGAGGCGCCGGGAAAATCAGCTACGTGAGCTGAGTCTCACCCCCCCCGTTTTTGCTATTCCCCCCCTTTCGCCCGGCCCAAGAGACACAGGCAACCCCTTCTCGGAAGGCCGGAGGCCCTCTGAGAAGTCCCGCCGCCTTCCGAGAAGGCCTTCTCCTTCTCGCTCCGCCCCCCTCGCTCGCCGCCGAGAGGTACCTGCTGAGAGAGGGGAGGAACGAGAGGGGCCTCATCATCTCGCGCCTGTTCCGGGAGCCGGGCGACCGGTGGGGCTTCCAGGCCACGCCGGCTCTTGCCTCGGGGGGGTCCGGGGGGGGGGCAGCATCAACATGTGCGGCGCGGAGATGGGTCGAGGACGCGCGAACATGGGCTACACCCATCCCCAGACCCCCTCGCTTTGTGAAAAAATCACAGCGGAAGGCTTCTCGCTATTTTCGGCCACTGGAGGTCTGGCTGGGCCACGGCACCGTCAAGAACGACTCGGGACGAGGAACCGGTCCGGGGAAAGGGGTCCAGGCTTGTGGGTGTCGGCTTTCCGACAGAAAATCGCAACGTCGGGGTCTGGGTCAGAAATCTGGCGAAACAACATCAATTTGCATGGGCCCCAGATTTTGTTTCGGAGAGGCAAGAATCTGGATTGACCCCTTGGCGTGTTCTCGGAATTGTTTCAAACCTCTCTGTGGTGTTGGGTGCCCGTTTTGAAGAGAGTGCCCCGTGTCTCCCCCTCCTCTCCTCCTCCCCCTCCTTTCTTCCTCCCATCCGTGCCTCTGCCCTCCGCATGTCCATTTCGGGACACCCCTCACACATTTCGTGGCCTCAGGGAGCTCCACCGAAAGCCGCAGTGCCCTTTTACGGCACACCCCTCACACGTTTCGTGGCACCATGGGAGCTCCACCGAAGGCCGCAGTGGCAGGCTTCGCATGCAGTTCCACTGCCCATGTCGGCGCACCCCTCACACGTTTGGTGACCCCATAGGGAGCTCCACCGAAGGCTTCAGTGGCAGGGTTCGCACGTGATTCCATCCCCATTTTGGCACACCCCCTCATACTTTTCGTAGCCCCAGGAGGAGCTCCACTGAAGGCCGCAGTGGCAGGGTTCGCATTCAGTTCCACCCCCGCTTCGGCGCACCTCTTGCACGCGTCGTGGCTCCATAGGGGGCTCCACGGACTGCCTCATTGGCAGGGTTTCGCATGCGGCTCCACCCCCGCTTCGGCACAGCCCTTACACGCGTCGTGGCTCCATATGGAGCTCCACGGAAGGCCCCAGTGGCAGGGTTTGCATGCGGTTTCACCCCCGCTTCTGCACACCCCTCACACGTTTCGTGGCCCCATAGGGAGCTCCACAGAAGGCCGCAGGGGCAGGGTTCGCATGCGATTCCAGTCCCAATTCGGCTCACCCCCTCACCCCTCAGACGTTTAGTGGTTCCATAGGGAGCTCCACTGAAGGCCCCAGATGCAGGGTTCGCACGCGGTTCCACCCCCCCTTGGGCACACCCCTCATACGTTTCGTCCACCGATGCGGAGCTCCACCGAAGGCGCACCCCTCACACGTTCCGTGGCCCCATGGAGAGTTTCTCCGAAGGCCGCAGTGGCAGGGTTCGCATGCGGTTCCGCTGCCCATTTCGGAAACAGAGGCCCAGTTTGACCACCACGTTGGCCCGTGAACGGGCGGGGCAGGATTCTGAACAATCAGAAGCAGTGCGACCTGCCTGCGTGATGTGAAGGACGTGCACGACGAGTGAGCAAGCTTCGTGCCACTGCGCAGATGGGGGAAGGAAGGGGGGGGGGAGGGGAGGGGGACGGGAGGGAGGAGGGGAGAGAGAGAGAGAGAGAGAGAACAAATGGCCCGTCCTTACGCCTCCAAGCAATACTCCACTAACGCGTTCTCGTCCTCTTCTGCAATGCTTGTAGTCCATTGAGAAACTGTGTTCAACAAAGCACGCGTGAAAGATGCCAGCCAGTCGTCCCATCTGATTGGAGGACGGCCTCGTGCCCTCGAGGCACCGTGCTCGCTGGTGCCCATCCAATATCTGGATGAAACCAATCAGCTTCTGAATCAATCGACTTCCAAGCAAGTTTACACACGCGGCGGCGAAACAGTGCGCTCCACTTGTCAACTGAAAAATGCACCAATGCATTGTTGTCCCTCATGCCGTCGATTCTTCTCCATCCAACAATCAAGCGAAGCAGTCTGTTTTGAATGACATCCAGAGAACCCAGCTGTTGCTTTGTCAGAGGCAGATGTGCCAGCCCGAGGGAAAGAGTCGGCGTAATCACATATTGAAATCATTCGAACCGGAGGCGAAATGCTACATCTTGGATAATGAGCGCGTGACGGTGTTAGTGAAATTACTGCCAAGCTCGTCGAAGTTGTTTTCTTGGTTCAGTTGTGGTGCGGCCCCTCAAGCTCGCAGGCAACGTCTTCCCCATGTCTTTGTGCGTGCCCATGCCGCGAATGACCTTAAGGATGCTGTTCGCGACCTCGAAGCTCCTGGCTCCAGCCGTCTCCTCGGAAGTAAGAAAGCTTCGTCTTGGTTGGGTTCCGGTGCAAGCCCACGGCTGCCAATTCCTCCATCAGCACCCCCAGCATGTTCGCCAAATCGTCCGCCGACGGTGCGTGCGGCATCATATCATCTGCGTATCGACGATTTCGTGAGCAACCTCCCATTTCCGGGGGGACACCAGCAGTCCTATCCGTTGTTACTGTCTTGCCGTCGCCATTTCTGATCCAGCATTGAACATCATTGGGCTGATGACGTCTCCCTGCTTGGCTCCGCTTTGCATTGGGAATGGCTGCGCCCCTGCTACGTAGCCCGTCTGGTTGGAATACAACGACGCCAACAGAGCGACGTGGTCTGTATCCACGCCTTGGCAACGCAGGGCTCAGAACACCATTCGAAGCATTTGCTGCAATCAGCTTCGAATACCAAGAACGCTTCTTCTTCCGAATGCCTCTTTCTAAAGCCGACTTGATCGCGCCCCGGATCATTTTCCAAGATGTCCCGTAGCAGGTGGTAGAGCATCCGAGAAAATACTTTGTAGGTAATCTTGAGGACAGCGATCGGCCTGCAATTTTTCAGCTGCGACAGCCCCCTGTCTTGGGCAGCATTGCATCTTCCACGAATCCTCCAGAAGCCCCGTGTGCACCACATGGTTATACATGTGTAGCAGATTGTCCAGGAGAGTATTGGAGGCATGCTTGAACATTTCTGCGACGATGCCGTCTGTGTCGGCGCCCTTCGTGTTGTTCAGCACCTTGATTGTCTTGCCGAGCTCTGCGTTCGTAAACGCAAGGACGTTGAAGGTCCCTCAGTGACCCGATAGTTCCGCAGACACCTCTTCAGAGGAATAAATACGTCAGCCACAGACCCTGCTAACACATCATGGGTGCATTGTGCGTCAGCCAGTTCCGTCCGCTTCCGTGCCGGAAACGCCTTCGCCTCTGTTAGTCGGTGTAGGTCACGGAACTCAATCAGAACCTGCTTGGTGCGCATGGCCTTCAGTCTCGGGAGTTCGGCCCGCACTGCCCTGCGAATTCGTATGGAGATGTCCCTTCTGCCTGCAGATTCGCTTGGGAGTGTGCCACCCTGGCGCAGAAATTCTTGGAAAGCACTGTCGACCCAGAAGTCTGGCTGATTGGTCGCTCGCTTGTCATGCCCTGACGCAACGGTGGTCACGCAAATATCCAGATCGGAAAGGCATGCTGGCGGATACGCACGAAGGTATGCATTCACGTCTTGACAGTACGCGCGATCATCGCCAGGCTCCCAACCTCGAGGGTCATACATGGTTCTGCGCCTCCAGCCAGATGTCCACTGCCCATTTCGGCGCACCCCTCAAACATGTCGTGGTCCCATGCGGAGCTCCACCGAAGGCTCCAGCGACAGGGCTCGCATGCGGCTCCCCGCCCATTTCGGCACACCTCTCACGCGTTCCGTACCCCCCACCCGTGGGGAGATTCGCCGATGACCAGATTCACCACCGTGGTGCTCCTCACAACTGCATGTGGTCGAGTCCGTCGCAAGGATCGTTTTCTTTGTCGACTGTTCGTATGCATGGACGTGGACTACAAGTCTCTTGACTCGAAGCGTAGGGTGCATGGCGCGTGGATGAGCGATTGGCCCCGCTTCTATGCAGCATCGGCGCGCGCTCCGTCGCCAAATCGGGCGGCGGCGGCCTCGTGTTGAAGGGGGTGCCAGACCCACGGATCCGTAATGCATGCTGGCGTGTGCCCGAATTCGGCGGCGAGCCTTGGACGTGAGGAGCGAGGGGGGAAATTTCGGGTTCGAAATTCTAGGTTTTCGGCCGTGTTTTCGTCGGTGGTCGGCGGTTTTCCAACCTCGCGATGCTTGCCAGCAGCTGCGCCTCGCCGCCGGCTTTCCGGGGGTGCCCGGATCGTCCCGAACGCCCGACCCCAGTTATGACCCAAAAGCCAAATTCGGCAGCGAGCGAGGGGGGGAAGTGAGAAGGAGAAAGACTTCTCAGAAGGCTCGGAAGTCCCCCAGCCTTCTGAGAAGTGTTCTAAGCCTTCCCCGAAGACAGAACACAGACTTCTCAGGAGGCGCGAGGGCTTCTGAGAAGTCCCGCACCCTTCTGAGAAGGCCTTGTCCTTCTCACTTCCCCCAACCGCTCGCCGTCAATACATGAAGACCGGTTCTGGCTCAGGAGGATTCCTGGTTGTCAGGTTGTTCCTTGTATCTAGGTCGGGGAACCTAGTCGTGGCCGAGACTCGCCGTGGCCAGAAAAGCCCCTTGGTTCCTTACATGTTGCGTTCCGTGTGCCAGCATGACTGATTGCACACGAGGGGGATGACAGAGTTATAGCGCTAGCGCCCTTGAGGGTAGGCGAAGCACTGTCGAGATCGGGTGGGGCTCATGGACTCTTCCATGTCTCGAGGTCAGTGCTGGTGAATATTGAACAGCTATTCCTTTCGATTCTGGTACAAGGGCCATATCTCGCCCCAGGGGGGAGGGGGGCGTACGCAAGGAGGAGAAGGAGGAGGAGGACGAGAAGGATGATGCTGCTACTGCTGATGATGATGCTGCTGATGATGATGGTTATGATGCTGATGCTGATGCTGATGCTGATGCGGCTGATGATGATGATGGTGATGATACTGATGCTGAGTATGATGATGATGATGATGATGATGATGATGATGATGCTGATGCTGTTGATGATGCTGATGATGATGAGGCGGAGGAGGAGGAGGAGGAGGAGGAGGAGAAGGAGGACCAGTGTAAACCCAAGAGCCATCAACGACGTTGGAATGAACCCTCT